GGGAATTTGGGGGAAGAATTTGGGGATTTGGGGGAGAAAAAATGGGAATTTTGGGTGGGAAAATTGATAATTTGAAGGTAAAAAACGTGGATTTTGGGGGTGAAAAATAAATTTTTGGGATAAAATAAGTGAATTTTGGGGTTTAAAAAGTGAAGTTTTGGGTTAAAAAATGTGAAATTTTGAGGTAAATTAAGCACATGTTTGGGGTAAAAAAGTGAAATTTTGGGTTTAGAAAGGTGAATTCTGGGGTTAAAAAGCAAATTTTGGGATAGAAATAAATTTTTTGGATAAAAATTGAATTTTGGGGTGAAAAATGTGGATTTTGGCGTTTGAAAAGTGGAATTTTGGGTTAAAAAATGCGGCATTTTGGGGTAATAAAAGCGAATTTTGGGGTTAAAAAAAGCAAATTTTGGGGCAAAAAGGAATTTTGGGGTAAAAATACGCAGATTTTAAGTAAAAATAAAATTTTGGGGTAAAAAGTGAATTTTGGGGTGAAAAACGTGAATTTTGTCAGCATGGAGACGCTGGCGGCCATGTTTGAGCTGGACCTGCCCACGGTGCACGGAATCATCAGCAAAATGATCATCGGGGAGGAGCTGATGGTGAGAAAAAAACACCAAAAATTGAGATTTTTTTGGAAAATTTGGGAAAATTCGGTGATTTCGGTAAAATTTGGGAAAATTTTGGTGAAATTTTGGTGAAATTTGGAGCAATTTTGGGTGAATTTTGGGCGATTTTGGACGAATTTTGGGTGAATTTTGGGTGATCATCGGGGAGGAGCTGCTGGTGAGAAAAAAAACCCAAAAATTGAGATTTTTGGGAAAATTTGGGCCATTTTGGGAAAATTCGGTGATTTCGGTAAAATTTGGGGAAATTTTGGTGAAATTTGGAGAAATTTTGGGTGAAATTTGGAGCAATTTTGGGTGAATTTTGGGGTGATTTTGGGTGATCATTGGGGAGGAGCTGATGGTGAGAGAAAAACGGGGATTTTGAGGGAAATTTGGGTGATTTTGGGAAAATTCGGACCCATTTTGGTACAATTTTTGCTATTTTTGTCCAATTTTGCCCAAATTTCACCCAAATTTCACCCGATTTTCACGGGTTTTTTTTTATTCCTCACCTGTCCACTCTCTGGACCACGGGGATTATGGGAAATCCCAAATTGGGGCCATTTTGAGCCATTTTAGTTCCATTTTGGTGCCATTTTTGGGTCAATTTTGCTGCAATTTTCTCTATTTTTGCCAAATTTCACCCAAATTTCACCCGATTTTTGTGGGTTTTTTTTATTTCTCACCTATTTTCTCGTGTCCACTCTCTGGAATAGGGGATGATGGGAAATCACTTTTTTTTGTGTAATTTGGAGCCATTTTAGAGCAGTTTTGGGCCATTTTTGGTGCAATTTTTGCCCGAATTTCACCCGATTTCGAGCAAATTTTGCTCAAATTTCACCCAAATTTCACCCGATTTTCGCGGGGTTTTTTTCATTTCTCACCATTTTTTTTCTGTCCACTCGTCCCAGGCCTCTCTGGACCAGCCCACGGCCACGGTGATGATGGGAAATCCCAAATTGGGCCATTTTGAGCGCAATTTTCGCTATTTTTGCCCAAATTCACCCAAATTTCACCCGATTTTCGCGGAGTTTTTTGGTGCTCACTTGTCCAGTCTCTGTAGACCACGGGGATGATGGGAAATCCCATTTTTTGGGTGATTTGGTGCCGTTTTGGTGCCATTTTTGGGTGGATTTTCGTGCAATTTTGGTCGGTTTTGACCCAAATTTCACCCGATTTTGAGCAAATTTCGCCCAAATTTCACCCGATTTTCGCGGGGTTTTTTTTTTTTCTCACCTGTCCAATCTCTTCTTCACAGTGATGATGTGAAATCCCATTTTTGTATGATTTCAGCCCATTTTAGTGCTGTTCTGGTGCCATTTTTAGGTGGATTTTGGTGCAATTTTTGCTATTTTTGCCCAAATTCACCCAAATTTCGCCCAAATTTTGTCCGATTTTCGCGGGTTTTTTTTTATTTTTCTCATAATTTCTTCTGTCCACTTCTCTCAGGCCTCCCTGGACCAGCCCACGGCCACGGGGATGATGGGAAATCCCAAATTGGGCCATTTTTGGGTGAATTTGAGCGCAATTTTCGCTATTTTTGCCGAATTTCGCCCAAATTTCACCCAAATTTTGTCCGATTTTCGCGGGGTTTTTTTTATTTTTCTCATATTTTCTCCTGTCCACTCCCCCAGGCCTCTCTGGACCAGCCCACGGCCACGGTGATGATGCACCGCACGGAGCCCACGGCCACGCAGAATTTGGCGCTGCAGTTGGCGGAAAAACTTGGGAATTTGGTGGAGAACAACGAGCGTGTGCTGGACCAGCGCCAGGGCGCCTACGGCGGCTACTTCCGGGGTCAGAGGGGGTTTTGGGGATTTTGGGGGAAATTTCGGGGATTTTGGGAAAATTTGGGTGAAAATCGGGGATATTTGGGCGAAAACCAGGTGAAAATCGGGCGAAATTTGGGTGTTTTAGGTGGAATTTGGGTAGAATTTGGCTGAGCTTCAGGTGATTTTGGGCATCTGAACACACCTGGGGACACCTGGGAAATTTGGGAGGAATTTGGGAAAATTTGGGGAAATTTGGGTGAAATTTGGGCAAAAATCGGGCGAAAATTGAGTGAAATTTGAGCGTTCTATGTTGAATTTGGATGAAATTCCGGTGGAATTTGGACGTTTTAAGTGAAATTTGGGCTATTTCTGGTGCCTACGGGGGCTACTTCCAGGGTCAGAGGGGCTACCTGGGGGATCTGGGGTGAATTTCGGGGATTTTGGGAAAATTTGGGCGAAAATCGAGTGAAAATTGAGCGAAAATCAAGTGAAATTTGGGCAAAATTTGGGCGAAATTTGCTCATTTTAGGTGAAATTTGGGTGGAATTTGGGCTAGTTCCGGGGTCAGGGGGCAACCTGGGAATTTGGGGGAAATTCAGGGGAATTTGGGAAAATTTGGGTGAAAATCGGGCGAAAATTGGACAAAATTCGGGCATTTTACATTGAATTTGGATGAAATTCCGGTGGAATTCGGAAAATTTGGGTGGAATTTGGGCTACTTCCAGGGTCAGAAGGGGTTTGGGGTGAATTTTGGGGTTTGGGGAAAATTTGGGGAAATTTGGGTGGAAATTGGGTGAAAAACGGGTGAAAATTGGCTAAAATTTGGCCAAAATACGCTCATTTTAGGTGGAATTTGGGCTATTTCCGGGGTCAGAGGGGGTTTGGGGCGAATTTGGGGGATTTGGGGAAAATTTGGGAAAATTTGGGTGAAAATTGGGTGAATTTGGGTGATTTTGGTTGATTTTGGGTGAATTTGGGTGTTTTGGGTGAATTTTATGTGAATTTTGTGTGAATTTGGGTGAAATTTTGGCGATTTTGGTTGATTTTGTGTAAATTTTGTGTATTTTTCACTCCCCCATGCCATTCTCTTTTCAGACCAGAAGGACGGCGGGTGGTTTGGGTGGAATTTGGGTGGTTTTGGGTGTTTTTGGGTGAATTTTGGATATTTGGGAATATTTTGGGTGATTTTGGGTGACTTGGGTGAATTTTGTGTGAATTTGGGTGAATTTGGGGTATTTTGGGTGAATTTTGTGTGAATTTTGCATGAATTGGGATATTTTGGGTGATTTTGGGTGAGATTTGGGTGAATTTTGTGTGTATTTTGTGTGAATTTGGGCTATTTTGGTTGATTTTGTTTGATTTTGTGTGAATTTTTGTGTATTTTTCTCTTTTCAGACCAGAAAGATGGCGGTTACCGCAAGGGTGATGGGTACCTGCGGCGCGGCGGCTTCCGGCAGGAGCGCGGCAACTACTGAGGCTGCTCTGCCCCACTGAGGCCTGGTGTGACCTATAGATCCATCTCTGCCCCATAGATCCCATCCTGCCCTATAGATCCCATCCTGACCCACTGAGGCTGCTCTGCCCCACAGCGGCCTGGTGTGACCCATAGATTCCATCCTGACCCATAGATCTGCCCCATAGATCCCATCCTGCCCCACTGAGGCCTAGTGTGCCCCATAGATCCATCCCTGCCCCATAGATCCATCCCTGCCCCACAGATCCATCCCTGCCCCATAGATCCATCTCTGCCCCATAGATCCATCTCTGCCCCACNAGATCCATCTCTGCCCCACAGATCCATCCCTGCCCCATAGATCCATCCCTGCCCCACAGATCCATCTCTGCCCCATAGATCCATCCCTGCCCCACAGATCCATCCCTGCCCCACAGATCCATCCCTGCCCCACAGATCCATCCCTGCCCCATAGATCCCTCCCCCTCCATCAAGGGTCTCGTGGCCGGAAGTCAATAAAGGAGTTGCCAATTAACAAGTGTGTTAATGATTTTGTTAATGAGATGCAAATGAGTGCGTTAATGAGATGCAAATGAGTATGTTAATGAGATGTTAATGAGGAATGGGGCAGGGGCTGCCCCACTGATTCCCTCCCTGCCCCACAAGTGACCCCGAAGCTTCTCCCCTCACCATTTCCCACCTTTTTTCATCCCCTCATGATTTTCCTCCATTTTCTCCCCTCACATTTTTCCTCCATTTTGTATCCTCATTATTTCTCTCCATTTTGTGCCCTCATAGTTTTCCTCCATTTTGTTCCCTCAGTTTCTCTCCATTTTCTCCCCTCAGACTTTCCCTCCATTTTCTCCCCTCACATTTTTCCTCCATTTTGCCCCCTCACATTTTTTCTCCATTTTCTCCCTTCGCAATTTCCTTCCATTTTATCCCCTCACACTTTTTCTCCATTTTGTCCCCTCACACTTTCCCTTCATTTTCTCCCCTCACTCTTTTCCTCCATTTTCTCCCCTCACGGTTTTCCTCCATTTTGTCCCCTGCACAATTTTCCTCCATTTTCTCCCCTCTCACACTTTCCCTCCATTTTCTGCCCTCAAACTTTCTCTCCATTTTGTCTCCTCACAGTTTTTCTCCATTTTGTATCCTCATTATTTTTCGCCATTTTATTCCCTCACACTTTCCCTCCATTTTGTGTCCTCATGATTTTTCTCCATTTTCCCCTCTCACACTTTCCCTCCATTTTGTCCTCTCACAATTTCTCTCCATTTTCTCCCCTCAGACTCCGCCCCGATTTTGTCCCCCCATGGTCTCTCCACACTGTTCCATCATGGCTGCTCCCCTTCTCCTTCATCCCATCCCCTCATGATTTCCGCCATTTTGTCCCCTCATGGCTTCCCTTCTTCCCATCCCCTCACAATTTGCCTCCATTTTCTCTCCTCACACTTTTCCTCGATCTTCTCCCCTCACACTTTCCCTGCATTTTGTTCCCTCACTCTTTTCCTCCATTTTGTCCCCTCATGGTTTTTCTCCATTTTGTATCCTCATGATTTTTCCTCCATTTTTGTCCTCACAATTTCTCTCCATTTTGTCCCCTCATGTCCTCTCTCCACACTGTCCCATCATGGCTGCCCCTCTTCTCCTTCATCCCATCTCCTCATGATTTCCGCCATTTTGTTCCCTCATGGCTTCCCTTCTTTCTCTCCCTTTGCACTTTTCCTCCATTTTCTCCCCTCAGACTTTCCCTCCATCTCCTCCATTTTGTATCCTCATTATTTTTCTCCATTTTGTCCCCTCACACTTTCCCTCCATTTTGTTCCCTCATGGCTTCCCTTCTTTCTGTCCCTTCACTCTCTTCCTCCATTTTCTCCCCTCACACTTTTTCTCCATTTTTTTCCCCCCATGATCTCTCTCCACACCATCCCATCATGGCTGCCCCTCTTCTCCTTCATCCCATCTCCTCACGGTTTCTACCATTTTGTTCCCTCATGGTTTCCCTTCTTTCCATTCCTTCACTCTTTTCCTCCATTTTGTCTCCTCACACTTTTACTCCATTTTCTCCCCTCACATTTTTCCTCCATTTTGTCCCCTCACACTTTCCCTCCATTTTGTCCCCTCACACTTTCCCTCCATTTTGTTCCCTCATGGCTTCCCTTCTTTCTGTCCCTTCACTCTCTTCCTCCATTTTGTCCTCTCATGGTTTTCCTCCCATTTTCTCCCCTCAGACTTTCTCTCTATTTTCTCCCCTCAGACTTTCTCTCCATTTTGTCTCCTCACATTTTTCCTCCATTTTGTCCCCTCACGATTTCCCTCCATTTTCTCCCCTCATGATTTTTCTCCCCTCACATTTTTCCTCCATTTTGTATCCTCATTATTTCTCTCCATTTTGTGCCCTCATGATTTTCCTCCATTTTGTCCTCTCACACTTTCCCTCCATTTTATCCCCTCACAGTTTTCCTCCATTTTGTCCCCTCACGGTTTTCTTCCATTTTGTCTCCTCACATTTTTCCTCCATTTTCTCCCTTCGCAATTTCCTTCCATTTTCTCCCGTCACGTTTTTCCTCCATTTTCTCCCCTCACACTTTCCCTCCATTTTCTCCCCTCAGCCTCCGCCGCCATTTTGTCCCCTCCTCTTGCACAGCCCTGACCCACAGATTCCTCTCTATAACTTCTCCATTTTAATCAAATCCTTAATCCGTTAAAACCCATAATTAATTAATTAATTAACCATTGTAAATGGGTGACAAAGAAGGAATTAATTAATTAATCATCCCTCATTAACGAGCGAAAAGGAGAGGGAGGAGGGCGCCCCCTCCCCCATAACTTTCCCCATACATTTTGCCCCTATTTTAATGAAATTAATTAATAGATTACTAGAAATAATTTGTGGATCAATAAAATTAATTAACCGATTAATAAAACTGCGAATAACGAGTTTAAATGATGCAAATTTTAWTATTTACAATTTGTTAATGAGAAAYGAGGGGGTGCCCCCTGCCCCATAATGAACCAGCCCGGTTTGATTCATTAATTAAATAATAAAAATAATATTTAATTGTTTTAAATGATTTGTTAATTATTCAACCTCCCGTAACGGTTCCTTTCCCCT